AATCAACACAACTTGACGTAGAGACATGATTGGCTAAAAAATACAACGGTTTTTGATACATCGGAAAATCAACCAAAAATCGGAGACTGGGCGAAACGCTCAAGGTCGCAGAGGTATAGGGAATCCCATTGCGAAAGCAACGGAACGATTGTAATATCATGGGGAACTCCGTTCCCATGACAATGGGGAACTCCGTTCCCATGACAACAAGCCAAGATGTTGTTAATTTGATAAAGTCCCGTAAGTTAGGCTCGCCATCTTTAGAAGGCTACTTATCGCAATCTTCAAGTTGGAATATTTTCTAGTTCACAAACGGGTTACTGAGCTATATGTAAAGAGAATGCTATAAAACTCAGTGCGGCATGTGAAATGCTTTCTTTTGTAATTCTGGGGCTGACACTCAACGACTTATCGACGGTGAAACTACCAAACCACGTATCTCGTTTGCGGTGTTTAAAAATCTACGCTCGCATTTTATATTTTTGAAGTAGACCAAATCAATATCATTCCTTGAAATTTTCACAGAATTTTCTCCGCACGAAGAAGAAAAATCACAGAAATTTTCAAGACTGGACGCTAAGTAGTTTTTCATTTAAAAAATAAAGTATGACAGGAAGTCTGCGACGTCGCAAACCGATGTACGTGGTTTGGTAGTTTCACCGTCGTTATAGGACTTATCTAGTTGCAGATTGTAGTTGGACGTTGAAATACCAGCTTCCTTTCTCTCGATTATTTGTCCAATTTCAAAAACTTTTTTTTATGTAGAGGATACATGAAGAAAAAATAATTATCATAATTATAGGTCTCCAATGTGTAGAATGCGTTCATCGCATCAGTTACATATAAATACTTAGATATTTACAGTATTTAGGTAGGTATCTACATTTGATTCGTCAAAAATCCCGAAATTTGATAAAGCATGATACTTAAGCACTAAGGAATATTAAAATGTGATTTCACCTGAGCCTTCTTTAAGTACTCCAGAGGTTCTTTATCTTTGTAACTACAGACGTCTTGTGAATTGTGAATGGATCTCATGAGATGGAATACTGAGTTGCGTAGATCGGTCTCCATACCACTTGAGCTCAAGGATTCCAGCAGACATTTTTTGAAATCGTCCAATGTCACGGACTTAGAGGCCACCGTTTTCTAAAAGAGGAAGTTTTCAAGATTTGCTAAGTCTTTTAAGTTTACCAAGTCAGATGTGATGCTGTGAGATGAGGAGCTCATATCCAATAGAGGGTTGTAAAATTTTATGCGAGATTCAGATTGAGTCTAGGGCTATGAGATATCATTCCTGATATAGTTCGTGTGGGTAATTACATTGCCGTATACTTGCGTAAAATTTAATGGGCCGATAAATAAATTACGAATAAAAGCACACAACTAGTTAATGCTCAGGAATTCACACATTCCTCTCTTTTACCTCATTCCTCTCCTCTAGGACACATTCCTCCCTTGAGCACCGACTAGTTGCTCGGGAGAGAAACTATTTCTCTCGAAAATAATTTTTGTCCATTGGCAGAAAGTTTCTACTCATAAGTAGAAAGTTTCTTCTGATAGGTAGAAACTTTCTACCCATAGGTAAAAACTTTCTACCCATAGGTAAAAACTTTCTCCCGATAGGTATAAAATTATTACCGATGGGTAAACAGTTCCAAGCGAAATTTGCTCACGGCAAATAAATTTAATAACTCCTAATGGCTCTTTTACTCGATGCAAGGCACCCTGGTTCCGATGTCCTGCACAAACGTGTTGACATTATCGTTCTCCACGCAATTTTACAGTTTTTTAAATATTTTTATAGATTTTATTTCGTTTTTCGTGTTTTTAAATCGTTTACGACATGCCGGTCACGACCGTGTAACTATTTTAAATACGTAGGCGTGTCGTTCTTAACCACGACCTGAAAATGAGCGTAATCCTCCAAATGGTCATCTTCTGATTTAATCTACTAGAAGGTACCAGGAGGATACCAATGTAACACTATCATAATGTACCCCGATAATTTTTCATCTTACAAAATGTATTCCATTGCATCTGCGTAAGCTGAACACTCCGCCCCCCCCCNCCCTTAGTTTTATACAGATTTCAATTTTTTTATTCTAATTGTCATTTTTGGCCTTAATTGCTCCTTAGAATAGTGTGGACCCACTACTACTCCACCGCCTTGTTCTAAAATAGAGTACATACCTGCAACTCAGCGTAGAACTTGCAATATGCATCTATGGAGGTTATTTCATTTGCAAACTTTTCGGCGGTGAAATGAATGCTTTTAATCTTCAACTCGTCCATCTCTTAGGAGCAAAATTTTCAACGCCACTGCGTACAATTTCACTTCATGGAGACAGTAAAGGCAAACTTAACAACGGAAGAAAGGATGTAAACATAGAACGTTCAACTTCAGGATCATCATGGTGCAAGCATTATCTAGCAAAATACTATGAGAGCGTAGATCACATGTAAGTTCAAAACAAACGGCTCTCGTCGAGAGATTGTTTATCGGTTGCCATGCCCACGCTATCGCACAGGCAAAGATTACCTGCACGTCTCTGCAAAACATCGTGTATGCAAAGGCTCTATCTCCCACCCTTTGACGGCCCTTGCACGTTTGTATCCAGCATTTGTACGCACGCAATAAAGCAAACTCATCACCTCGACAACGTTGAATGGAAAAGGAGATGGTGTTGCCCTGATACCTACTTGTTTTTATATCTGATTTCCGTGTCCTCGTCCTGTGCTGCTGAGTACACAATATGAATAGGAACGATTCGATAGCCGATACTTTCTGAATTTAATTAAAAATTAAGTGAAAAAACGCTGGAAGAAAGATCTTGGCTTAAGCATGATGATTCTTAAATTTGCCACCACTTAATTCAGGCTCAGAAGAATGGCTCAACTTCCAAGTTATTGAAGACCAACATCGATCTCAATTTGGACTACATTTTGGAATAATTAATTAAAATTTCTCGGTTTATACATAAAAACACCTATTTGTATAGAGAAACTAATGGCACGTGTGTTGTATCTATAGTGAGCTAGAAACTGTAGTTCGAAATTGCAAAATGTGGTCCATTTATTCCACTCAATTTCGCAAACTATTCCAGACCTCATAAATCGCACAAGTCATATTCGCACCAATAATCATAAAAAAATGCACACTCGGCGAGGGGCAATTTTCCTAGGATGTGAGAAATATTTTCGCTGATTTTCATCATCCTGCGATCAGCTTAATAAATCGAAGGTCGAACCTATCGATTTGACCGACGACCTCCGATCAAATGAAGACTCGAATAATGCTGAATTCCACCGATAAGTCAGCAAAATTATACACAAGTGAGTAAAATACTGCCGTTCTGAGGAAGAACTCCGTAAGAGTTTTCAAGCGTTGCCAAATCATTTTTGACAAATCACGGATTTTCGGGCAAATTTATGAATATTTTCTTTTCCATTAATCAGAGATCTGTGCTCGGAATATGATCTAAAATTTCAAGGGAAAATATGCATAATTTTTCTCAAAAACAAATATTTCCTGAAGGGAAATTTTGCAACATTCGAATGTTCTTGCGGCGTTTTTCCTCGACACGGCAGAATAGGTGACGAAGGAAGCAGGATGATTTGAACCGCGTTTAGAAGAAAGGAACCAAGCCACATCGGCTATTTCCAAAATTAACCGGGCAATTTAATTGTTTACGAGGGAAAGTTCACTCGTAAAAAATTAAATTTCCCAGTTAAACTGGGGGTCTAGCATCATGAGTTTTCCGATCTTCGAGATTCCATCAGGATTTGAGGTCAATCAGGATTTAATCCCGATTTCATCAGGATTTTAAAAAAAATCGGTAGTAAAATCAGGATTTGAGAAAAGTCGGCCGTCCGATCGGATTTTTTTATCGAGCTATTTTTGTGAAGTTACATTTGCTTTGCGAAAAATCAGGATTTGGTTTAATTATGAAATCAGGATCTAGCAGTAAAAAATCAGGAAAAATCAGGATTTCCCAAAATGTAAAAAAAAACTCTAAACACCCTGTTACATTTGGCAATAGCTAACGTGGCTTGGTTCCTTTCTGCTCAACGCGGTCTATTTGGTACTGCCGCAAAGTTGGAAACCTCTTCGCCGGGTTCTTTTCATTAGAATTGAGGCGCGCGCGGCGATTTTACGACGTTTCGCTCGATTCGCGGCGAACGATCAGCTCCTGACCGCTCGAGGTATGTAAATACGAAGAGGAAGAGCGCGAATCATTGCAGCTGTAATGAGTGGATCTTAATCATTTCTGGTCGGGCAATTACTCTCACGTAAGTCCGTAGACGCACCTTCTTGTCGCGCGCTCACCGCGTAACCAGCTCCAGTTTTCCGCCTAAGTGCTCCCATCCCAGTTCCTAAACACCAATTCCAAGTGTTTCCTGTGCTTGTGGACTTCTGACCGGCCAAAATTTTGGGTCTCCTCGATTCTCGTCAGTTTTCGCTCTTGACATAGTGTGCAATTGTGTTGATTTGTTCCGGTTTCACGTGTTATTATCGACGTCAGGCGTTTCGGCCGGAAAAAATTTGAATTTGAAGGAAATTTTATTTGGATTTTTTGAAGTTTGTTGAAGGAAATTTTAAAGGAAAACCAACCACTCTCTCAATCTGATACGATTCATCTTACTTCGGTGAGGCGAGTCCTCTTCTTGAGAAGCTGAACGGGTGGGTAAGTTTTACAATGTAAAACGTACACTTTGTGGAAACAAGTCATGTTTATTTCGAAACTGGGCTGATGTTTTCATGCAACATGTTCCTTTGTAAAAACTTTATGAAAATTCGAATTTTTTTCACTGAAAGGAAGCTACATGTGGGTCACTTGCATGCTCCTGGGCCATAGGAAAGGATAATCGATTTCGAATGTACTTTGCGCGAAATTAGAGATGTTTACATTTTCAAAGTCAGAAATTTCAGCTTTCAGATTTGAAGGACCATTCGGAAAAAGGCACTTGTTCGATCTTTCGCTACTAAGATTGTGGACCTTTGTAGATGTTTGACTCTGATAAAAATTTACTTAGTTTTTAATACACTAAAGTCTGAGGTAAATCACTTCATGAAATTCTAAAGGGCGAACATGTAAAGAAAAAGAACTCTGCGCCAAAAATAACAAAGGTGCAATATTTAAGTAACGTCAAATGCACAAGTGCCCTTTTTCCGAAAAAGGTCTCTCATTTAAACTCAAAGTTTGAAGTATAAATAAATCATTTTCATTGGCTGAGCTCTACGGAACAAAACGTTCCAAATCGCGATCTCATGCCAATTGTGAGCGGTAAATACCAGATTACATGCGTCACCAACTGGACGTATTTCTGCCAAACGGAACTAGGTGCATTAAGACATGAGCCCTGAGACCCATAAGAATACATGCATAACAGGACTCACATCATAATGCACATAGTTCCGTTTGGCAGAAATACGTCCAATTATCTTGAATTTCGTTCCCTGGTAAAATCAGAAACATTGACTTTGCAAAACTTTGAGATTAATGAAACAATGCACATAATTGGACGAATTTCTGCCAAACGGAACTATGTGAATTATGACGTGAGCCCTGTTATGCATATATTCTTATGGGTCTCAGGGCTCATGTCTTAATGCACGTAGTTCCGTTCGGGAGAAATGAGTCCGATTGGTATTTTGCAGTCAGAACGACCTAAGAATTACGAGCCAGCGTGCGTAAAAGTTCGAGATAGCCTATTAAGTTGTCGCGATAAAAGTAAACAACATTACCGCCCGACAGCTCTGATGTTCGTGCGAGATATTTGCAGTTTTCCGAACTAAACTGAAGTAAAATAAACGACTTTTCCACGTGCTACGGCAACACTGCCGGCAACACACGGCAATTTGTGACGTCAGTCACCCGCCAAACGCAACCGTTTGAATTCTTATCAGTGACAGGACTTTTTGAAGAGCTTTTCTGCATTTTCCCGGAGTTCAAAAAAATTGGGAAAAATTCCTCGCACTTCATCACGATCTTTCATCTCATAGATTATGAAAATGAATTGAAATAATCTTCTCGAAATAACGAGCTGACACTTTTGTTTGACATTTCAACAGAACGGCCTTTGAATAGAGAGAAAACAAAATCATGGGCGTTTTCAAGAAATTACGTTGCGTATTTTGCCATTTAAAAATAATAATGACTCGAAGTCTGCAGCGTATCATACTATAGCACACGTTTTTTGCACCACAATAATTCGGTTTACAGCTGAATCGTGCCAAAACTGAATTGAATTTTGGTCATTCTGAAATCAAAAGCTCAATAAATATAGTTACATCTTTACCGTTCTCTTTAGGTTTCATAAAAAATATTACTCAGACTATATTCAGTGGTATTTCATTTTATTAGTTAATTATTATCCAGCTCATCGAAGGACCATTTGCACTCTCATACACACCCAAAAATACAGGATTAGGGCTTGTTTTTTCGTAAAAGTTGTGGTCACACATTGATCTTGTGCGAAACCACGTATCTCCAACGCACCGTTTCAAAATTGTCGGTCCTATTCGATTTTTTGGATAGGAACAAGCCAATTTTATGGCTTGAAATGTATACAGAATATTCTACTGACAGAGAAGAATAATTAAAAGCGTTTTCGAAAACATTACGTTGATTTTTTTGAGAGGAAAAACAAAGGGTGACAGGAAGTCTGCGACGTCACAAACGGAGACACGGGGTTTTTGCACTTTGGCCATCGACGTCTTTCTTGCACCAGTTATTCAGAATCAGATGCTGCAACTTACCCCAAAGTCTCTTTATCACATTCTTCAGTGTGATTTCTGAATTTACTCAAAAATATATTTTAAATTCATTTAAATAGAAAAATGAGTTAAAGTACCTACAAGTTAGAGGCTTCCACTACTTAAACGAGCTTAGTGGCATGATTTTCTCTAGAGTGCCAAGTGTGTTCCGAGCGTTATACTTAACTTCTCGTGTATTCTTTTTTTCAGGTCATGCAATGATTGATCGATCATGAGTTCAGTAATGCAGGCTAATTGTAAAGATCACCCGAAAATGAAGATTTTGGAACAATTTGGGGAGGTGTTTTGGAGTCCCTCATTTTGGCTCCCACCGAACTCGACCTGGGAAGAATTCGAGCATTTTGAGAACAAAGATGGTCATCGAATCCCTGATATTCAGGATTTATTCTTCGCATGGAAATTTATCCCTGTCATACTTTTGATAAAATATTTAATAGAAAAGTAAGTGATGATAATATACCAGATATGCCCAAAACTTCTTTTAAAATGCATTACACACACGAACTTCGCAGTATATTTTATTCAAAATGTATGACTTGAATTGAAATATAGCAATAGATGGCTGCCCATTGAAACTTCAAGTTTAATATTTCTGACATTCAAAATCAAATAAAAAATAACGATTTTCATTAATTTTTTACTCGTCCAGGTAAAACTTCCTGAACCGCAAATGAGAGTAAAACATTGCTATAGCATCAATCGTTTCCACGCTTCTGAAACCGGTGAGCATCCAAAATTAATATCTCCAGAATGACTGTGCCAGTGTGCCATACCATTGAAAACTCAAATTAAGAAAATTAGCATTGCCATCGGAGTTTCTTCTTTTTCTTCTTCTTCTTCTTCTTCTTCTTCTTCTTCTTCTTCTTCTTCTTCATCATCATCATATTCTTCGTCTTCTCCTTCTTTCTTTCCTTCCCCCTCTCCCTCTTCTCCCTCTTTTCCCGAGTTTTTACTCGGCGGCTTATTCTAGTGCTCAAATAATTTAATGACGAGCGTAAGACTTGAAATTGAGTCCTAAAATTTTGAACATAATTTTGAAACAGGAGAATAAGAAAAATTTTACGTTCACTTAACATTAGAATCGATCAATGTATGAACTGCACCAACTAATCAACCCTTGAACTCTATAAGAACGCATGTATCCACTAGTTTATTTTTTATTGATAAAGAGGAGCTCCTTCAACTGCCTCGGCGATAACTATTTGAGCTCGACGGTCGATGGGGTTGCATACCCATCATATTGAAGGCAGCTTTTGGGCTCGCACTTGAACCACTCCACGAGACGCAATGCTACGCGGCGCGGTGCAATGCAATCGCGGGAAACTTGAAAAAGTGTGTTATAAACCATGCAGATTGCGAGCTAAGGAATAACTTTTTTTATTTCAGACTTTTTTAACTAACGTGCTTAACGTGGTTTTTGCGTGATTTTTGCGTGATTTTACCCATAAAGGCTACATTTGGATAACATTTTCCAATCAGGTACCACTATTTCTGGCCCATATTAGAAACAACATGCATGTCATTGGTTTGCCTATGCAGATTTGTGCTTTTATAGGAAAGCCAGAGATAGTGGTTCCTTATTGCAAAATGTAATCCACTTATTTGGCTGTATCTCCCATTTCTGTTGTTTCTCGTTTGATATGGATTAAAATTTATCGATTGCCATTTTGGGTTATTGTCGACTTAAATTCCCGAGTGTGCGACTGATTAAGACTCATTTATTTCCAGACGTGTTGGTGTGAAGGTTGCAGAATGGGCCGGGATAAAGCAAAGGCGGCGTGAGAGACCTCCGATCATTGATATCCTTGAGAAGGCGCACCACGCTAAACCCTGCGGAATATGGAGGGAACGTGAACTTTACGCCCTCAGCAAACAGCTTGATTGGCCAAAAGAGGATGTTGAAAAGTGGATCAGGGCTAGGAGAAGATTCGCCGCCCCCACCACCGTAGAGAAGTTTTGCGAAAGTTCGTAAGTGTTTGTCTCGTACTCTAGGGGACTTTCTTAAATATTGAGACTTTTGAGATGGACTACGAGTATAAATAATCGATTAAAAATGTGATACTGCACAAAAGTTTGTTTAACTATACTTCTAGGTGTTCTTACAGGAGAAAAGAGTTATAGGATAGGGTTTTTGAAAGCATAATAAACTATCCTCTCTTCTAGTAAAGCAATTTTTTACCACATAAAGAGGGAGTATAGAGAATTTTAGTACCATCCTCTTTTTCTCACCGCTTTGTAATCCAACATTTTCCCTTACCAGATGTTTAATTTCAAGTTATTTTCAGAAAGTATAGGGCCTTCGGGCTCTCACTGAAACATGTTTTGTCATCAAAATATAATCCCTCTTGAAATTTATGTAAGCATGCCAACCAATCAATCATATGAACGATTCTATTTCACCTCAGTCAAGTATTTTTTAATCAATTTTACAAATTGAACCGAACAGCTCCGGAATTCCAGGATGCCTGTTTAATTGTGAGTATAACCACTAGAAAATCTAAATGAAAGGATATGTTTTTGTTCCAATATTTTAAATATTATGGTATGGCTACATCTGGTACGAGAATCCGTTCAAACTCAGCGGTCATAAAGACGATTATAAAGTATGAGATTGGAGAAGTAAAAGCGAGCAACCAAAACTTTATTTTAAGAGGTGCCTTAAGTATACAATGGCTATTTACCACCTTATTTTACACCTTATTTGCATCCGGGGTAACAAAACTATGTACGGCCATGGGATTACTTTGCGCAAGATAACTACGGAACTACATAAAGTTTCACAACCAAAGTTTTCTCAGAAAATGAAATGTGAAACTTAATTAGTAGTTATACCACTGTAAATGCAATGGTGAACGTGACACTTACTACGATTCCGCTACTTAATGGAACCTCACTCTGCAATTAAAAACTACAATTTTTGGATCAAATAGAAACGACGTATGTACTATTCCTTCACTATGCACATAAAAGTTGTTGTGGGTGATCCATAAATGAATTGTAGTTCTCAATCGCAAAATGTAGTCCAATCAAATACGTACTCGTGTAAGTATGGTGTCACATTCATTGTCCTTTGATACGTTTTGGGAGAGCATAAACAATTGACGTTATAATGCTAACTAACATACATTTTTTTATCTTTTGGTCATTTTGGTATACTCAATTTCTTTCAGCTGGCGCTTTATATTTTTCATCTGTATGTTTACTTATGGCCTCTACGCTCACTGGTCCAAAGAATGGTTTTGGGACTTCAAACTTTGTTGGAAGAATTTTCCCCAGGTACTTTTTATTTCTTTCTTGTTACTCGTTATATACATATTAGAAAATAACTGGACGGCGAATTGTGCATATTTTCAGATACATGCGTGCAAAGTTCCCCATAAAACTAGCATGATTGGTAACGGTAAATTTAACCCCGAATTATCATTAAAAATGAATTAGCAAGTAAAAAACTTGTAGAATAGAAATTTTGAATTAGGAATCCTAACTTAGTAATGGTAAATTTTACTCCCCCCCCCACTACAAATTTAGATTGAAAATGCATTAACGAATACAAAATTATATCAAAACCACCATTATTGCCCGGTAAGGAAAGGTTTCCTCTTATTGTTGATATTTAAATATTTTGTTTCTTGTGTGCTCGACACAGCCGGTGACAGAGGACTTGTATTGGTACTTTATCATCTCACTAACAAATTACTCATCGTGGAGTATTTCACATTTCTGGGACGTTCAGAGAAAAGACCCAAAAATCATGATGTTTCATCACTTCGTCACGTTGACTCTTTTGACGGCTCAGTGGGTCACAGGCTTTCACAGAGTTGGACTACTTATCTGCCTGCTTCATGATGTCGGCGATTTTTGGTTAGAGGTAAGGTTTCAGGTGGAAAGATTTCTCTCCTTCTTATACATTCATAATTTGTAGGTGGGTAGTGGATACCCATGTACCAGAAATTCAGGATTGATAGTGATAAATAAGCTTAATTCTCAATTTATAGTCTATTTATTGCTATGGAACTTCTACTGAATAGCAATTTTATCTGTACGTGAAATAAAAACTTAGTACAAACAGCCAAGTTCAATTTTTGAATACGAATCAGCTAATTGTAATTCGTCGGTATATTTTTGACAAATACGCTGGATACGAGCTCATTTCCAATTCAACCATTCACCTAAAAATAACCCCTTGTTTGAATCCTTTCATGCAATTAATTGATTCATGTTCCTTTCATTTCGAAGATTAATATCACGGGAAGTTTACAAGTTTAGTTCCAAAAAAGTTGATTCATTCTGTTAAAATTTAATTCACAGATATTGATATATTCTTACACGTCATTTTATTTTTTCAGTTGTCGAAGTGTTTGAAGTACCTGGGCTTGGTGAGAACTTGTCAAGTTATGTTTGTCCTTTTTGCTGTCATGTGGATCATCACTCGAAACATCATTTTTCCGTTTTACCTCATCCCATGGTTTGTTTTTACCTATAAACATTTTTTTTTTCTGAACGATTATTGATTTGGACACATCATAGTATTTTCAGAGCAAACTTAATCGTAACTTTTCACGCACATTTACAAATAAGAGACACTTCTGCATGCTTTGATGACATCGGAGAGATGCGACTATTCGTGCTTGATGGATGTCTGCGTTGCATCTGCAAAATTGAAGGCGCAATGTCGTCTGTCCCAGATACNGGCCTCAACGCTCACTGGTCCAAAGAATGGTTTTGGGACTTCAAACTTTGTTGGAAGAATTTTCCCCAGGTACCTTTTATTTCCTTCTTGTTACTCGTTATATACATAGTAGAAAATAACTGGACGGCTAATTCAGATACATGCGTGCAAAGTTCCCCGTAAAACTAGCATGATTGGTAACGGTGAAATTAACTCCGAATTATCATCAAAAATGAATTAGCAAGTAAAAAACTTGCAGAATAGAAATTTTGAATGAGGAATCCTAACTTAGTAATGGTAAATTTTACTCTCCCCCCCCACCACAAATTCAGATTGAAAGTGCATTAACGAATACAAAATTATATCAAAACCACCATTATTGCCTGGTAAAGAAAGGTTTCCTCTAAATGTTGATATTTAAATATTTTGTTTATTGTGTGCACGACACAGCCGGTGACAGAGGACTTGTATTGGTACTTTATCATCTCACTCACAAATTACTCATCGTGGAGTATTTCACATTTCTGGGACGTTCAGAGAAAAGACCCAAAAATCATGATGTTTCATCACTTCGTCACGTTGACTCTTTTGACGGCTCAATGGGTCACAGGCTTTCACAGAGTCGGACTACTTATATGCCTGCTTCATGATGTCGGCGATTTTTGGTTAGAGGTAAGGTTTCAGGTGGAAAGATTTTTCACATTCTTACACATATGTACATAATTTGTAGGTGGGTACCCATGAAGCAGAATTTCAGGATTAATAGTGATAAAATAATAAGCTATTTACTGTCAACTTATAGTCTATTTCTTGCTATGAAACTTCTACTGAATAGCAATTTTATCTGTATCATGGTGTGAAATAAAAATTTGCTGTAAACAGTCATGTCCAATTTTTGAAAACGAATTAACTCATCGCAATTTATCGCTATTTTTGACAAATACACTGGATACGAGCCCTTTTCCAGTTTAACCATCCAATTTAAAAAAAAAAAAAAAAACCTCACGTTTAACGCCTTGCAATTGATTGATTTAAGTTCTTTGTATTTCGTATGATTATTTTCACGGTACATCCACAGTTTCCAAGTTTAAAGAAGAGTTGATTCATTTTGCTAAATTGGACGTATTTCTGCCAATCGGAACTGTATGCATTAAGACATGAGCCCTGAGACCAATAAGAATATATGCATAACAGGGCTCACGTCATAATACACATAGTTCCGTTTGGCAGAAATACGTCCAATTTTCATTTACTGATATATTCTTATACTTCATCGTATTTTTCAGTTGTCGAAGTGTTTGAAGTACCTGGGCTTAGTGACAACTTGTCAAGTTATGTTTGTCCTTTTTGCCGTCATGTGGATCATCACTCGAAACATCATTTTTCCGTTTTACCTCATCCCATGGTTTGTTTTTACCAATATAAACATTTTTTTTCTGAACGATTATTGATTCAGACACATCATAGTATTTTTAGAGCAAACTTAACCGTAACTTTTCACACATCCACAAATAAGAGACACCTATTTACATGCTTTGATGACATCTGAGAGATACAACTATTCGTGCTTGATGGATGTCCGTGTTGTATCTGCAAAATTGAAGGCGCCATGTCACTAGGCATGAACTCGCAACACTTTGCTCTATGCTGCGAATGAGGTGTCAAATTCGGGGGGAAATTTAATGAAAAACGAGGCCCGAATATGTCTCGCATCTTCAGCGTCAACATATCTGGACTGTATTTTGCAATTTGGAGCTATAAATTCTAACTCATCTGAAAAAACACTTATGTGCATAGGGAAACTGATGACACATACGTTTTTTTTAAACCGGGCCGAAATTTATAGTTCTTAATTGCAAAATGAAGTCCATCTAAAGCTCATAAGTGACAGCCTGACAGCCCCATGCAACCCGCGGGGCACAAGTTTTTAGCAGGTCTCGGGTCAATTTGACCCGGCTTGAACATCTAGGGGTTAAACATTTTTAGAATACGGAACTTTTAATGTTTATGTTTGTATAATTTTATGCTGCATGAAATGCAATAAGTCTCTTATGGTCTAAAAGTGTTTATAGGTTATTTGAACTATAATACGTATCAAAATGACGTCAGGTGTACTTCATACACAATTTCTCATGATCAATTGGTTACTTTATCAAATCAAAGTAGCTGTAAAAATGTGAATTTGTCTGGTACAGCTACGGTATCTTTAAGTCGTCATTAAACTGAATGTAGATGTGATTGCTTTAAAAAAATGAAGCTTCAAACTAGTAGCAATAATGATGATGGAACTAGAAAAATGCATTCCTCGTTTTTTTATGTCGCAGATTTTGGAATATCTACATTTTATTATTTTGAGCAAGAGCATAATTGTCTCTACTTAATAATTGGTGAACTACAAGTACTTAATGTTCTCCCGAAAAAAGAAATATGAGAGAAAATCTCGAGGCACCACAATTATTGACGTCCATGTTTTTTATAGCCCGTCTCAGATATTTACTCCCTTTTGCTGTATGTAATTCCCTATCCCGCGCGTACAGCAAAAGAAGGAAAGTAATCTGAAACGGGCTCTAGTTCCTTAATTAATTTATAAGTTAAAGAACAAATTGCCATTGAATGTAGTAGTCAACTAATAAGGAATACAAATATATTATCGCCGTGCTCAGGAAAAATTTAAAGAAAAATTTAGCGTTTTTCGACTTACATAGGTGCTTAAATTATTTAAATGTATAGAATTAAAGTGCATATTTCAATTATGATGTTTCAGTACCTATTATCATTCGCCTCACAACGTCTCCACGTCGTTTCCTTTCTCGTGTTTATACGGGCCCTGCGATATCAGGTAAATCTTCCAGTTTCATTCTAGATTAACAATATAATCCGGTGGTAAAAACTATGAGGGAATTTTTTTTTACATCAGATCACAAATCCGAGTAGTCGGTGTTGTACGCTGCTTTGAGAGCCCTGAGACTTTATACATTCTATATACATCATTGTAGAAAAGGTGAGATTACCTCAGCAATTATTTAGGAGAATGAACGACGAAATAACGTGACGAATATCGTGTTTTTGGACGAATAATTTTAAAATAATTTTTTCCCAACACTGGCTCTAGCCTGTTACGGTGTATTTTTGTAGCATTTCATAAAATGAATGATGCAAGGGAATGAAAAGGATATTGGCTCACTTGATTGATCTCTTGTTTTAGCTCGTTCAATTTTACCTCTACCCACGCTCTCATTGTGGTGGCTGTGAGCCTGAGTCTTCTCCATGTGTATTGGACGTGCCTCATCTTCAAGGTTCTCTACCTGGCTATTTTCGTTGGAAAAGTGAGTACACGTCCAGATTCTATCGACATTCACAACTTCGCATACTTTCACTGTTAAATATTTTGAGCGCGTAAAGGACAGTATGTTTATTTCAGTTATTTATCCGAAAGAACATTAAGGTGTATTCGGGTATATTAAGCACGGAAAAAACGATGTAGTGCTGAGCACTAACTGTTTAGATCAAATGGAGGCAGCAAGTATGTCATTGTGAGCCCTACAACATCAAGTTCCAGCTCTACAGACTTTAGGTCTCAGCAGTACTGTCATATCAGCTGGCTCCATTTGATCTGAACAGTTAGAGCTCAGCACTAAGTCGTTTTTCCGTGCACCCCCCCCCCCCCNTCCCCTTAGGAAGAGTGGGGAAGAGAGGGGGTCGTGATCCCCCAAAAATTTTTCCTTTTCAATGATTAGGCCAACAGTCCAAGCCGGAATATTTTAACTCAATAATTGAAAAAGTTTTGGCCTATCGAACGTTTCTTTTGTCCATCCCGGAATATCAATATATTTATATTAATCTATAATCAGGCAATATTGGTGAGGAGAGCTGTAGGTAATGGGTTGGTGATCGTCACGTCAATCGGCCATTCCTTGTACTCTAATCACCTAACCTAGGGGCCAGTTCGCCCTACTAGCTAAAACGGCTGATGGCGTCATCGATGAGACAGATTTACGACGTTCTCAAAGTTACCAGTTTGTGGTGTCAGCGGAGGTATCAATGGATGACGTCATCGAGGAGATCAATTGATGACGTAATCAGAAGTGCCAATTGAAGACTTCATTGGGATGATCAACTACCCATCAACTAGTTGTTCCTTTAGGAGTTCGTTTGACAATCTACAGCTATCTCCATAATCTGGTTACTCTTTCTACTCCAGCGTTTGAGTCTCCAGGTATTAGTCGATGAATTAGGCAATCCGCAACCCATATTGAACGATTTCAAGCATTCTGATACATGTTTTTTAACCAAATTTCACGTAAAACAGGTTCTTTACCACGAAAATCACTCAAATCAATTCCGAACTAAAATATTAACGTTTTTAGCCTACGTTAGCTACGGAAATTTTGAATTCCCCGCTCATAGATGTAAAATATGAGTCTACTCGAATCAAATCGCGCACTACAACAATCTTGGCAGGCTTCTACATTGAATAATATTCCTTGCCCGCTTTATGTTATTCAGAGTTTTAACAACGCGTAACAGCTGAGCCGAAGCACCGAGACGGAGGTCGTCATTTGCTCATTCTGCAGAGACTGTTACGATAAAATTTCGTGCGAGATTTGACTCGCATAACTCCTGTTTTTTTATGAGCGGGACGTTTGGATTTACAAGCGAAAAACATGAAATATATTATTCAGGAGTCAATTTCAGTAATTTTCGTCATGGGAATCGTGTTTTGCGTGAAATTATGGTCAATAAACATATAATATAATGCTCAAATTCATATCTTGTCTACTATAGTCCATTATACTTACTCAACTTTATTCCACTTTCACCACTGACGTGCATATATGCTATTTTTATTTTTCAGTTGGAGGATGACACTGTCTCAGCCAGCGATGAGAGTGATGATGACGATCGCAACTAATCTGCTTTGTTCTGATATCGATTATCGATACTTCCCCATTAGATGCTATGGTAAAGAATCGATTATCTAGGTGTTGGTTGCGAACACCCTGTTGATCGATCCTTTTCCATAGGTTTAAATGGCAGATCAACCGATTTATCGCAAAGCACGCCACGTCACTGCGATTGAATTAGCTTGCGGAAAAGTGCGGCCACGCTTACGAGATGGGCAGCACCCATCCAGTGTTGAATTTTTGAAATATCGAAATAATTCTCTAGTCAACACAGTAATGTTCCTGTGTAATTCGAAGGATGAATACATAATTTGAGCCATATTCTCTAAACTTTTGTATTAAAGTGATGACGATCATGTTTTTTGCGTCAGATTCAAGCCTGAAGGTCAAATGGCTTCATTCAGAGATCGATCAATTTTTTTTCAGGAATCACATCATAGGCGCCTCTGAAATTAATTAGTAATACACCCTATGCTCCTTCCGAAGGCATAGAAAATAAATACATTTATGAAAACATCATCTGCGCATACCACACGCTTGGAGCAAAGATATTGCCATACCACTAAATTAAGGATAATAATGATAAATTCGAGAATAATGCACCATTGACTGTTAAAGTACCGGATGATGAATTTAAAGGAGTGTATGTGGGAGATCTAGGTCATCATCATATAGGTCTCTCCTTTTTCTCTAAGTACCTAGCCTCTGTGAAGTACCTTTTACAAACGCTATTATACATAACTTCATTATTGTACGCACCTATTATGGGATGTCGGTGAAACGTTTGGTCAGCAATACTGCTTGCTATTCCGTTGGATTGTCACGAAATTGGCATATACAGGGTGTCCCAGGATTAAGTACGAATATTGAAGGAGTCGATTCTCTTCTTCGGTCAGTCGATCTTCTGACGGTTTATCAGATTTTCAACGGATGCGATTTGACGATAAAGAATGTGATCTGCAACTTAACCTAAGGAGATGATGACGTCTCTTTGAGTTCCACGAATGATTTAAATAACATTATGATTTGTAAATGCGATTTTGCGAAATTTTAACTTGATGCGATTTTTTTAAATTTTATTTATTGTGTGCTTTGTTATACAGGTATAAATAAAAATACTAATAATATAAAATCGTTTGCATAATAAAAGTTGTTTCAATGTCCTGCCGTACTCTATTTTTTTATCGAAATCCTTTCTCTCATCCCTCAAGATAAATTAAAAGTGCCCACTGTTGGTGATAACCCTTTTTCACATGCTATTTCTCAGATTAAAGTGATAGGTTAAGAACATTTTAAAGACTCCTTAGACAGAGAAAGATTCATAGATGAATTAAAGAATTTGACTTCGTGGTCTATAGAACTAGAGAGAAGAATCCTACCAAAAAATTCACTAATTTAACATGATTTGTAGAAAGTAAGAGCTTTGAGTTAAGTTTAAACACCTCTGGCAGGGGAGTGAGAAATTTTATTCTCCTGATTCTTAATTCCATCTTCTTGATGGTTACTTGAACTTTAATTACTTTGAACTTTACTTTTAAGGCAAAACGATGGTTGTAGTTTTATTTTGAAAACATCTGCCAAATGTCATGCGTAAAAGTAAAGACCATCGCATGAGGTGTATTCACTTAGTGTTTCATTTTGACGGGTAAAACGCAATTTTGAAAGTAGCGCCTGGATACAACTATACGTGCTCAATGGATGTCCGCGTTGCATATACATAAAACTGAAGGCGTTTTGAGATTTCTTGCGTTGGGCGCAGTGATGAGCAGAGCGCTGGAGCATTATCTTTTAAATTTTAAAAGTATTAAACGATGTTCTGCCGCTAAATATTGCTTTGAAGCACTGCGACAGTGAAACTATAACGTCCCGAACTATGCATCTCGGTTTCCTACGTTGCAGACTTCCCATCATACTTTATTTTTTAAATGGAGAACTACTCAAAGTCAACTCTCAAAAACTTTTTCTTTTGGACGCCAAACAATTTCTGGAGAAATTTTAAGGAATGCCGTTGATTTGTTCTTCCTTGAAAAGATAAACCAGGAGTGGAGATTTTTAGACACCGCTAACTGGCAACGTGGTAGAAGAGTCTCACCGTCGCGCCGATTGACTTTGTAGTGTGAATGCTGCTAATTTGACGCCACACGTGACGGTTGCAACAAAGTTGTGACAATTAAATAAAATGAACAGATTTTAGCACTATGTTGCAGCCACTGGTGCGATTGGACTGCATTTTTCAATAAAGAGCTACCATTTCTGGCTTATCTGTAAAAGCACCCATATAAACATAGAAACAAATAGTACGTCGACGGTAGAACTCCAAAACCACGTATCTCGGTTTGCGACGTGGCAGACTTTCTTTCATACTTTATTTTTTAAATAAAAAACAATTCAGCGTCACGTCTTAAAAACTTCCGTGATTCTTCTCCTCTGGACGAGGAAAATTCTGTGAAAACTTCAAGGAATGACGTTCATTCGGTCGCCCTAAAAAGAAAAAAATGGGAGCAGAGATTTTTAAACACCACACAAACGAGATACGTGGTTTGGGAGTTTCATAATCGTTGTTGGTGTTTTATAAAATCTCCGCTCTGAAACGAAAATTTCGCGACAGCGCCATGTTTTGGAGACGTGCAGTGAGTTTGGAGTCCCTCTTGGGGGATTTTAAATTTGCCTGCTCACTTCAATAGATGGCAAGTATCTTGACAAGTTGAAAGGCTGGTTTGCGATAGCCAGGAGTTCGTGAAGTCCTGGGCTTTTCTCATCGGGCCCCGTTGCCGTAAACTGCAGTTTCAGCGTATGAACGACGACTGGTCCGGATGCGATCAGCGCACTACACGTGAGATAGGGTGTTTTTCGCGTTGGAGAACATCCTTAGAGCATGATGTCACGATGCAGTAGACCGCTGCGCGGTTGCCACGCCCTGCGGGAGCCAACGGGATGGCTTAAGGCTCGTAATAGTTTCGGCGGCCCTCTAGAAGGTGCGTGGCAGCGGTGCGGGGACCCTGTCTGCTGGACATCGCGTAGTCATGTTTAGAGCACTGGAATTGCTGATTTCACTAGATTTTCCGCTCGAATCGTACGAAACTGAGGGTAAGACGCTCCTAAGGAAGATCTATGAAACCAGTCTTCTCTCAACGCGGTGACCACACTGCTCGCGGTAAGCAACACGCGGTACAACCCCGTTGCCCCCCAGTTGGCCCCGAGAGTTTTCGACTCAAACCCCCCCCCCTTCTCTTAATTTTAAAATTGTATTTGTTCTCTTATTTCCGGTTTTTAGAGTGAGCGTTATGCGNCCATTGTTTGAGACCATCAAACTCGCGTCGCCTGGCCGGGAATCGGACGCGGGACCTCCCGATAATAGAGTTAAGTTTTTAAGAATTGCTGGTGAGTGATTTTTCTTGTGAAAAAGTAAAGTATGACTAGAGGCAACGTAAAACATCGCAAACCGAGATACATGATTTAGGATTTTCCCGTAGACATACTTTGTTTCAAAAATAAGCTAGAAATAGTCATTCGATGTTGCAAAATGCAGTCCAATTATTCTGAAGATCGCACGCCACGCTGCACCAAGACATTAGTGCTTTGTAATATCGGCTGTCTCTCTCTCTCTCCCCCCTCCCCCTCTCTCTCTTCCTCTCATATTTAATTACTCTTTCGCAGATTTTTTCTTCTTTTTTTAATTTTCCAATTTACTATTGCTCATTTCTCAGATAATTTTCTCGTATCAGGACAGATTGGATGCTATGACTAAACATCTGCATTAAGACAGTTTAACCATTCTGTAAACCGTGGTGCCTGTTGGTAGGTAGTCTCACCTGTCAAATACGTTTCAGTTTTTTATTTCTTTTAGTCATAATTTTTATGCTTCATTCATTTGAGATACGTAGGTTGTAAAATGTACGTTCTTTGCTGTAAGAGTTATCCATTGTCGCATGACTCCCATTTCATTACCACGGCAATTGCATAGCCTAATTTTAAATTGTCCACTAAAAATGTCAGTTCTCTAATCTAAACATCTTAAGGATACGTCAGTTAGCTCAGCATTATTCGCTACTTATTAGATTATCCATGTGCATGGGGGTTTTCTCACTGAACAAAGTCTTTTTAATGATCAGTTGAACTGATCCTAGGGTTCCAGAGCAGTCACTTTCGCCCCTAGTTAGCTGCGCGGCCCCCCTTTCTTCAAAAAATTATTTTCAGTTGAAATTCGTTTTAATAAAGTCATTTTTGTGATATTTTTAAGTTAATTTTTCGGTGCATTGATCGTGAAGTTTTTTTCAATAATATCTTATATGTATGTAAGAACTTGTGATTTTGTAATTTCAAACATTGAGGTAAAAATCGCAGCAGCGAGCTACAATCCCATATTTTCTAGTTGTTATTCCTAATTTGAAATGAATTATTTTCAGTATTGGAATAACTATAAACCCATCATACACAGTGTCTAAAAACTTAGAGTGCACTTTAGTTATTAGTGTTAACATTTCCCGCATTTGCATCTCACTAAAATTCCTCACAAGTTAATCGCAAACACCTTCCCACTTTAATTACTCACCAACATCTAGAAATAACTATAAAAACAAGCAAAATAATTTAAAAAGAGTTAAATATACAGATGAACATATACAAATTATATAAGGGTCGCATTTTGCTTCGAATGCAAATAAAAATAAATAATATATAAAGTATTAAATTATCCAGAAAATTTACGAAAAGCGCTTGGGACATTATTTCTTGCTCTACAGCTTTTGTAATTACTAATACTCTTGGACATTTTTATCGAATTTTGACATTTTGATCCACCTAAAAACTAGTACCGCAGTTAACCAACTGTCTCGTCCATAAAGTTGTAATTTTTGCGAAATCGAGGTATTGATTTTTTCCCCATTTATAAACAAGATCGGACTTTTTTAGGTCATCGGTCTTTGTATAATTTATTTAGGAAAAAAAATAAGAAATTGTAAAATGCTAACTCTAATTCCTGAGCAAGGAGATATTAAATAAAGTATAAAAAAAAAATAATTAATTTTAAGCGTCTCTCCCGAGACTTTCTAGACTCTCTCGAGATTTTTCTTGATGACTATACATGCTTTGGATTCTTCAGTTACAGCTAGCATACAGTTACTTAACGCGCGTTGCATGCAATTAACGTATAATCACTCATCGCTTTTCCATTGGTGAATAATAATTGAGAACTAGGATAAGTACTGATGGGTTTACTTACACCTGATGCTCGTGGATTAATCTTGTCCTTCATCCGCAAATTGGTGACGAAAGTCGAAAAATGTGCCTCTCTACTGTTGCGTTAAAAAATCTCCCACTGTGTTTTATTTTTTTTATTTTTTAATAATACTAGCCAAAATATTTCCTTGATATTTTCTTTCATATGTGCCTTCTGCACACTTTTTTCGTAAGTGCAGAGAATTCAAAGGTAATTTCAATGAAGCCTGTTGGTTGGATTTCATTGAAATAAAAAAAAAGCAATTGAAGACTTGCAGCGTTGCAATCGGAAACACGCATTTTTCACTTCAGCCATCATTATTTTATTCACGTTTGGGCAAGAATTTTGCTTACAATTTTCCAACAAGATTACTGGTCCACTCTTAATAAAACTGTCATTGCTCTCTTGCATCAACCATGGCGCTTCAAAGTGAAACCTATCTCCATTCTGATGGGCGGTGATGAAATTACCAATCTAGATCTAAAATATTAACTTACCCTCATAGCTTATAATCCTTTCTCCCAAAAATAATAATAACTAATAAAATAATTTTATCGCTAGGTATAAGGTTGGAATCTCATAATCACTGAAACTCATATGGGAATATTTTTTACGCTCGAGAGGTGAAATACAATTTGCCGGATCTACATTTTTGGAATGCATCAGTTTTAGATACAACTAACGTTAGCGAGTAAAAATGAAAGTTACCATGTTTTAAAAATGAAACTACTCGACAATTTTCATGAAATATTTTGGGACGCCACATTCTGGTTACCTCCTAACACAACTTGGAAAGACTTCGAAAAAATCAACGGTAGTGGACGGATTTCCACTGTGAATGATCTGATCTTCGCATGGAAGCTTGTTCCTCTCTTACTGATCGTCAAATATACGTTTGAAAAGTAAGTGCTGCCTTTTAATATCTAATTACCATGATGTTTACGTTTAAAATACAATAAAATATTGGAATCTTATCAAAAAATAAATGTTCACCTTTCGCCTTTAAAGCAGTCTATCTCCACAGGTAGAAAAACTATTTCCCTAATTACTTGGTCAACCCACTGGGTAAATTTAATATTCTATCAACTGTCAAAGTTGATGAACACGAGTCCTGGTTTAAGACTTTGACGTTTATATTCGCTATGGGTTTTAAGATTTTCTATTAATAAAAGAAAAAATTTGGAAAAATTTTGGAACAACATAATCGATGCATGAGTTTTTTAACTTTTATATCCTGACTGCTGACAGAGACTGTATATGAACCTGCCTTTAACCAGACCCTTAAAAGTGGCTGAAAAATTACAGAAATGTATCATATTTTTCGATGTAACCACAATTGAGCGGTTTGGAGGACAAGGCGCATAAGTGAAGTTTTCTGAAAAAAAAATTGAGATATTAATGATCTTACGTTAAACTAGTCTTAGTGCACATTCTGTGAAAAATTCACTTCCAAATTCCGATTATTAAGCATTAAAAAGTCAGTTTGAACTTTCTCTCTGCAAGAAGGATCCGTGTAATTTCGAAACTTCAAACATACGAATTTCTCGAAAAAGCAAAAACTGCACTCTTGCGCCTTGTCCTCCAAGCTCCTCCATTCAAAGTACTTTCAAGCTACGGTCAAATTATGTGGCCGTATGCTGGGCCATTGAGGAGCCCATAAATTCTTTTTTTTTTCAAAACTAGTCAGATATGTATAAAATGTTAAATACGGTACACCTCATGCTCTTTTCTTTTAAATACACCCCTCAGCTTGATAAATGTTCGATGAAGCCAACTAACAGTAACAACATTTTTTTCAAATCGTGCATCTCTCCTCTCTGCCCGTCCCCCTAACAGACTCTTTATTATTACCAAGATTTTTTATTTGTTTATTATGCGCTTTGGCTAATTAAGTTGTTCATCCGCAGTACCAAGGACTTCCTATCCCCTACTATTAATTACACAACTTTTTTTTTTTAAATTTATATCTCAGATATGTGGGTGCAAAGTTGGCAAACTGGGCTGAACTGGAGGAGAAACTGCGAGAAAAACCCCCGACTGTGATGATTTTAAAAAGAGCTTACCGTGAGAGTCGAGGTCGCGAATGGAGAGAGCGGGATATCTTAGCTTTTTCAAAACAGCTCGACTGGTCTGCACAGGAGGTGAGACAGTGGTTCAGAGCAAAGCAAAGATTTGAAAGCACACCAATCACGGACAAAATCGGCGAGAGTTCGTAAGTATCGGATTCCGTTTTTCTGCCGAAGTTTTTGAAAAGTAAAAAAATGATAAAATATAATTAATCCTAATTTGAATGTCAGGTTCTTACGGTTTTATACGATGAAGTTTGTAGAGTTATACTGAAGTAATAGAGTAAGTTATTTCGAATTTTGTTTCAAAGCTTATTGTTTTTAAGAAGGACACCTATACGGACGTTTTCTGCCCCTGGTAAAAATTGGCGATAGGAGCCGCGTTTCAAAAGACCATAGGAGTTCTTATAGCCGACGAAAGAAGGCTTTGAAAATCATATAGCTGGCTGTAGAAAGCGGAGCAAATCATATAGCCGGGCTATACGAAGCTATAAAAAAGTATACAGTCGGGCTATAGTTTCTATCGCCGAGCTTTACACTTTATCACCATTGGCTATAAAAGGCTATAAGAAATTGTGTATAAATTCGTGTGCTTTTGAAATCATTAAGTTTTTTACGGAACTACCTTAATGTTTACAAAACACACATTGTATTTTCCTAAAAAAAATTTTTTTTTTCATCAATTAAAATGAGAATAATTCATACAGAGTGTGCAAACATTTCAGAATCATGAGTTGAAAAACGCCGACTCCGCGAGATTAGAGCCTAACACAAAGCGGAGCGGCGACGCATTGGCGCCTACAAACCTAACAGGGATACTTCACGCATTGCGCAATGCGTGAAGTATCACTGTTAGGTTTGTAGGCGCCAATGCGCGTTTCCCGCTCTCTGCCCGCCGCTGCGCCGCAGCCAGCGTGCCACGGCGTATGAAGCAACTATTTCACACCAGAGGTATTGCACAGTATCATAAGAAATTGAAGGCGCTCCAGAAGGCGAACACAGATTCTACTGCCAGTTTTTACCAGGGTGATTGAAGTTGATAACAAGAATTTTGAAAATGCGGAGCGCGAGTGCTCTTCTATTTAATGAAATTATTGAAGTACAAAGAGGCTCGTGAGAATTAAAGAATATAAGTTCCATTATTATAGTTCCATATAAGTTCTGTATCAAAATGTATAAGTTATCTGAGTGATGAAAGACGATAACTTCGTAGAATTTCAAGAAAGAAAGAGAAAAAGATATTGCAAGGAGCTGTGGCGTTTTTGCAAGTTGGCAACACTATATTCCTCGATTTCAACCCACTAAAAAAATCGATATTAGGTGTCACCAAGAATCGATTGTTTTGCATACATTTAAATGGAAGAAAAATAGTGCTGCCAACTTTCAAGAATCGCCACTGAATGTGACGTCACCTTTAATATGACTCGGTCACTCCATCTGCTCTTGAGCAATTTGCCCGGGGAATGGCGGTTGTAAAGTGATTTGTCTATTACGTCAATTAGGGAAACATCTCCAATAACCTTCCAACACTTGATGAGTTTTCCATCCGACCAAGCCCCAGCCTTCGCGAGAGATCCTCGAGATTTACCGCGTGAAAAATTATTTGGTCTTGACCAGTGTCATAATCTTTTTACACACTAATTTGATGGCCAAGATTTATTGAACTTCAAAGAAAGGTTTGCCAAGCAGCCAAAATATTGGTATTTACGCAAATTTGATAATCGTCAAGTTTTTTCCTGCGGGCAAAATTTTATTTTTATTTTAGTGAAAGTCAAGATTACAGCTCCTGCGGAAATAAAATTAATTTTCCCTCTAGAATTACACATTTTCACAATTTAAGTATCCCTTTCTTTTTCAGCTGGAGGTTCGTGTTCTTCACGAGCATTTTTAGCTATGGACTTTGGGCACACTGGACGAAAGATTGGTTCTGGAACTTTAAACTTTGCTGGGAAAATTTCCCCCAGGTAGAGATTTATAATTTATCTGTTACATGCACACCATGCTAATTGCTTAGGTACTAACTGTTTGGTTTAAAGATTAAAATATGTGATTCCTGCTTTTAAATTTCAGAGCATTTTTCCAGATTTCGGTCAAAAACTGAACAATGTGTTGTAATTGATGTTGTTATAATAATCATGCATTTAATCACTTCGTTTAACAGTGTAATGGTAAACTGACTTTTACATATTTGAAGGCATAAGTAATAACTCACAGCATTCCAATTCTTCTTTCATTTACGCAACAGGTATCAAGTGTGAATAAAATTAAGAAAAGGAAAAATAATATTTGATTGGATGTAATTTTTTTAACAGCCCGTGTCAGAGGAGCTGTATTGGTACTTCATAATATCCTTCGCAAACTACTCTTCATGGGGTGTATCTCACTTTTGGGATGTACAGAGGAAAGATCCGAAGATTATGATGTTCCATCACTTCGTTGCGCTAACCCTCCTTTCGACCCAGTGGATGCAAAGGTATCACAGAATAGGACTCCTTATTTGCTGGTACCATGACATTGGAGATCTTCAATTAGAGGTGCGGAAAAATGAAAATATAACGGCAAATATGTCAACCTCGAAATAGACCCCAAAACAGGGTCTGAGTCTAACAACATCGCTCCTCTGGCGTAAGGGCATAGCTGGATTTCCGCATGAGTCCCAGAAAGCATTGATTTATATTTGAAACAAGGCTCAGCTGGAAATTGAGAAACGCCCTTACAACAGATTGGCGACGACACTGAGTTTGAGGATAATATTATCGCGTTATTTCATCAAAATTTAATTAAACGTCTGAACAATATATCAATTAATCAGCATTCCTTCCAGAAATTGTTTTTCTCAGTTCACACAGTTTAATAAACTCGGAATTCCTAACTTTAGGGCTGACTAAACTTGTATTCTCTTTCTCTGATGAACAAAATTTGTAGACATTTTGCTAGCACGGAAAGAGAATTTTTTTTTTTCGCGGGTATTTTCGAGCGTAAAACTAGGAATGAGAAAAAATGAAAAATAAGTCATCGATAGTTTTGGAAAACAATTGATGGGTGAAAGTTTGCTCACCGAAAAAAAAACTGCTCCAAAGAATCTTGCAACTTTACAAAATTGAGATACATCGATAGCTGAATCGAAAAATGTAGTCCTCGGAAATTAGCGGAAATATCCCTTAAACTTTTTCACAAATACTTTCGATCGGGGTTGTTCACGGAAAATTTAAGAAAAACTGATGGTTAGTTTTCTTTCGAAAAAATATAAACCTGAGCGAAGATTGGAAAAGTTCTAATCAAATGTTTCGGATTTTACTATCGGTTGCCGCTCATTCAATTTTTTTTTATAAATTCCTCCCACAGTTTTGGAGAAAATTGAAGATTTTGATTATCACAATTTTCTAGAATGAGGGATACTAATCCTGTCTCAGTTTAGTTTCCCAATAAATTAATCTTTGTTTCTTTTTTAACAGCTATCAAAAGTGTTAAAATATCTAAAGTTCAAAAATGCTTGCCGATGGACGTTCTTTCTTTTCACTTTTGTTTGGATTTTGGTGCGGAACATAATCTTCCCATTTTATCTTGTCACTAGGTAAGAGATAAATTCTTGAAAGTTCTGACCTTCACTATACTGATCTAATGGTGAGAAGCTCAAAAATTAAAAATTGAAAAAAAATTTTAAATTTTAAAAAAAAAAGTTAAAATTTGATTTAACTTCAAGTTCATATGCAACACAATAAGAGGATAAGCTCCTTTACAAAAATTTGACCATACGAGTATTTTTAATGCACTGGTCCTGAAAATGTAAAATAACTAGTAAAGTATGGTGAATGCCACATTCATCCAAACCTATATTATAAGTGCACATCTGCACTGGTTGCAGCGGGACACATTTAATGAAAAGAAATTAGGAGGAAAAAGTAAGACGGTTAGTTTTTTTTTAAACTTAAGATCGTTAAGATTTTGCGTAGTTTGAAAGACCTGAAATAATGATTTTATTCAAATTCTTAAATATGTTACAGTATCTACAATTACTCACCGCATAATGTCCTACTGCATTTCCCTTTTTCGTGTTTACATGGATCATGCAGCATCAGGTAAGAATTGGTTCATTCCTCTCTATTTCCATTAATTCAAAACGACACATTAATAGACCATAGTGAAACAAGTGGACTTCTAATTGGACGTATTTATCCTGATGGAAGTTATGCGCCAGTGCGTTAAATTAAAATAAATTAACTGCATAGTTTCTTATGATTTCGATACACTTGCACTTAGTTCCTTTTAGCATTATCACGTTCAATTGTGAGCGGGAAAAATCTCCATGAAGTACTATATTTTAAAAGAACACGAGTAAATTTTCCTTCATAAGCATGCCATTGTAATTTCTTCTCCTATTTAGGATTACGTCTTTCAATTAATCAATGGTGCGCCATTTATTTATTGTAATAAAACAGACAAACGAGATTTAACAACTGAATGCACAATAAAAGCACATCGACAAGTCGGCAATCACATTACTCGTTTGTAGTGTTTGAAAATCTCCGCCTCTATGTTATTTTCTGAAAAGAGAACAAATTGGCATCATTCCTTGAAGTTTTTGCAGAATTTTTTTCGCACGGAGAATAAAAATCACGGCAGTTTTAAAGAATTGCCATTGAACAGTTTTCCGTTTAAAAAATAAAGTATGACAGGAAGTCTAGGACGTTGCAAACCGAGTTATGTGATTGCCGACTTACACCGTTGACATACATTTTCGAAAGTAGTAAACAAACGGTCAATGCATCTTCGTGACAAAGATTATAACCAAGTGGCAATCCTTTAAAAACTCCTTCAATTTTGAGAGATAACAATATGTACACGAGAGTTGAGTGGGGTTGCAGACGCATCATTTTGAAGGCGATTCTTGCCCACACGCCAGGCTTCAATGCGTAAACGGTCATCCTATGTTTTCCTGCGAACAATAATTAAGCGTTTCATGACTCATGTACCTCCTATCATGGTATCACCTTTACCGACCTTAACTTCCATGGTCTTTTCTCATCCCCCTTCCTTTCTACGACTACGATACTAATAACGCTGGGCCTGTATGTACTAACTTCAAGACTCATGTTGACAGTGAAACTCCAAAACCGTGCGTATCTCGCTTGCAAAGTTTTAAAATTTCAGCTTTCATTTTATTTATTGAAGGACAACAATCTAGATCATTCCTCGAAGTTTTCACAGAATATTTTCCTTACCAGGAAGAAAAATCAAGGAAGTTTTCAAGAATTGACGTCGAGTAGTTTTCATTTTAAACAGTAATATGTGAGAGGAAGTTTTTAAAGTCACAAACTGAGATACATGGTTTGGGATTTTCACCCTCGATGTATATCATTCCAACAAATAATGTAGCATTAGAAAGTCAAGCACGAATGCTTATAAATCGCATTAATCGGATCTCATTTCTGATTCCTCTCAATTAAATATTACGATGTTCACAACAAGTTGAGGCGTGGATACACCATGCCATTCGGTATCTGAAAAGACTTTCAAAACCATACCAAAAGCTCATGAAAATTGAAAGCTTGACGTGAATTTTTCTCTTTTTTTATGTGTACGTTTACCTAGAACGATTTGCTTCTTTCCAGTTCCTTCCAATTCACGGCTACTCACGTCCTTTTGCTCTGCTGCTGGGCCTTGTGCCTCCTTCACATTTACTGGACTTACCTGATCTTGCGAGTCCTATACTTGAATCTTGCTTTCGGAATTGTAAGTTCTATTCAGCTCTGTTTGCGTTCAATTTACCCTCCTACTAATTTAAAACACATTCACCTTGTTCTGTACATTGACCGTGAGAGGAAAGTATAAGGTCCCTTCTAGACTACTTGAGTGGTGGCTCACAAGTACCTTCCCCGCCCGTACCATTCTTTTCCACTAGTCCTTAATACCCACCGATAAATTTTAAATGATGAGGGAAACTGCGTTTTTATTCAGGTACCTATTAATTTATAAGTATTTGAAGGCAAGTGGAGTTAATTTCCATAGAGGAGAATTATCGATAAGAGCTGTTGCACCCAGAAAAATTATATTGCTGATTTAACAAGTTGGTGTTTAAAAAAGTTTCTGTTTCAGTGTACTTTGTATAGTAAAAAAATGCTAATTTAATAACCCCTGTAGTTAAATTATTGTTTTACTATTGTAAAATGTACACGTGAATCATGTTGAACATATTTTTTGACAATTTAATTGTTAAATCAGCAATCCATTTTTTCCGTGACCCCAGCTGAACTTCCTCAACCCTACGATTGTGTGTTATTTGAAGGTCTATTTGACAAAGAAGTCATCATTAATTGGTCATTTCCGGTCACTTTTTAGTTATACTGGCCTATGCATGGATTTATGGGCCGATTTTGGCAAAAAATGCAGATTTTCCGACACTCCACAGCAAACCCGTAAACCGCGTTTTCCGCCCAAAATCGGCCTCCGTACCCATGTGTAGGCCGACATTGGACCCGAAGAAAAATCGCCGAAAATAACCAAATCATGGTGCATTCCATAAAATATAGACCCTCAGTGAACAAAAATCGTAGAGTTGAGGATATTCAGGGTGGGTCTAAAAATATCTCTTATTGATATCTCTCTTTTCCATGGAAAGGAAGTCCCACCGTCGGTGAGCCCGGAAAAGTGGCCCGGTCACCATGAATAATTAGCGACACTATGTGAATTGAATTTTTGAAGATCTGAATTTTTTTAAAAAAAAAACTCTTTCCGAATATATTTGGGCCCATCGGCACTTCCATCAAAAATTCTACATTTGCTTCCGGAGCTGTTGCTATTTGCTCAAATTTTCTCATTTTCCCCCAATTTTCGTAAGTTTTTTTGACGAATATATGTTTAAGCGCTGCCGAATTTCACTTCGTGCAATAATTCGGCGTTTCCAGACGAAGAAACATCACGCCATTCCAAGGTTGCAAAATTGACTCAAACACACTCACTTTTTTACAAGAATGTACCTGGGCAATTTGTATAAAAAATAATCCTGATTTTCGTTGAAGATCACAAGGAAAATTCGTGAAATTTTCAATCGGAAATTCCTGAAATTCTCTTCGTAAATGTGCAATTTTCTAGAGGAAATTTGGCGACATTGAGATGTAGTTGCGTTCTTCTGTGAGGGGAACCACGAATTATCATACTAACGATTCTGCGATCGGTTTATTTTTCAGGAGGAAGATGACACGGTGTCTGATTGTGAGGAAGAAGAACATTTGAAGAAAAAAATGTAGCAAAAAGTTAACGGTTCTCACTGCCAGTTCCGATTCTGTTCCTCTTTCTGAAAAAGTTTGCGTGGAAGAAAGCTGATACAAGTTGAACTTTTTTTAATATACCGTGCTGATCCTGGGCAGGAATTTCCTGGTTATGCTGAGAACGAAATCATTTCACTCATTTAAACTTTCAAATCACGAAAATTTCAAATATTTCTGGGGTAAAAGACTGTGCTTAGTATGTAATACATACTACTCGAAACATACTTTTTCCTTGTTTGGAAGAGCTTGAAATCAGTAAAAACGACTTTCTCCCAAGTAGCAGTGATCGCGATAAGTTGTGACTGATCGAAGAATGTATTGCGATTTTATCGACGGCGACTTATCGCATTATTATCGAGCAAAAAATTGTGATAAATTGAAATCAAAGCTCGATTTTATCGCACGCGATTTTAGAGACAAAAAATTGCGACAAGGCCTAAGATGATCGATTAGATGTAGATGATCCTAGCGATTTTATCGCCAAAAATTCGTAAAAGAATCGCAACTTAATTTCAAGCTATTTCGATTTTTCCGTTGAAAAATGCTACTTATGGGATCAAAGTTCCCTCAATTAATAGATGAAAATAGCACGGAAATTGATGAGAAGGTAACGAGACAGAGGAATAGATGAATGAAGAATAAATGATTGAGGGAGAAATATGATTCAACAAGTCTTGGTCAGTTTATTTACATAATTTATTTAATAAGCTAATGGCTGTGACCTCGGTGGGTTTTAAATGACAACAATTATTTATATACCTCTTGAAAAAGATAAAACATGATCGTCAATACCATTTCCGTTCATATCTCCTTCCCACGCAGTTGACATGAAATAAGTGGCCAATCAGTCATTCTATACTGAGCTTAACCCTGTTTATAAATATTGTATGAAATTTTCTGCTAAAAACACAACCCTGATTACAATATTGTAAGGATGAACTTCCCCTGGGAAATCTATGGCAACAAATGGGTAACGAAATACCTATAGAGCCAACCCAATTCCTTTTTTTTCGATTAAATTTTTGCGGTGGGAATGCATATGAAGTAAAAAAAATAGCCCTCCCATTCTCTACTCCAAAATAATCAATTTGACTTACACGAAGTTAAAATACTATTGTTAAAATCAGAATCAGGTACTTATAGTTTATACTAAAAATTAAAAATGAAGAATTATAAATAAATATACGGTTAGATTTTACTCGCTCTCTTTAATCACACTTTTAGCCTTTGCAATGATATGACGACCACTATATTCTTGGTTTTATTTCGTTTGTGTTGGAGCTAATCAGCTAGTTTGGTTCAAACTTCACCATCCAACGAGTATCTTGTTCAAGCTTGAGAAGTAAAGCTCATCAGTATAACTGGCTCTCATTTCAAGTTAAGGGCTGGACCGACTCGCTTGTGGGTCAAGGGATTCCATGGAGTTATGTTCCTGATTTTGGGTTCTAATGTGTTGGAATATACGTCCCCGGCAATTTCCTCCATTGTAATTTCGGTGTCTTCTTTCGCAGTCTTGTTTGCAGCATCCACCTCTTTCTTGATCTCTGCGTCGATTGCCTGAAAATCAAAATTCAGAGTAGAGCGAGGGCTTGTTTGTCGCCTGATTCATTAACTGATCAATTCAATTCGTTAGCTGATTTATCAACTAAGAAATTTGACTTGGTAGTTAATTCAGTTTGAATAGTGTTGTTCAGCATATTTTGCAAAGCGCTTGATATTGATATAGAGTGGAGGCCCACCAAGCGCTGTGCTGTCGTGCTAAGGAAATCAGCGTAAGAGCATTTGAAGGTTGCCAGATTTCTCGTCATAAAATATTTATTTAAGAGAAAATTTATGAGTATCCTCAACGGAAAGTTTCAGATACTTTACATTAACTTGCGAATTAAATCCTAAAAAAATTGAAAGAAAAATATGCACAAACCCTAAAAATTCATATTTTTTCATGGAAAATTTGGAAACACCTAATAGCTCACGTGACGTTCTTTCTTAGCACGGCAGTTAGTGGATAATTCTTGAATTCACATACCAGAGAAGGAATTTGAACACGAAAACACAACGCAACAATAAGATTATTAAAATAAACTCTAATTAAATCTAATTTTACGAGATTTTGCAATATGGAACTTTCACCTCTGGCTCGTCAATAAACGCTTCTATTTATACAAGGCAAATGGTGCAGATGTTATTTCTGAAATAAACCGGAGATATCTGGCTCCTTTTTCGAAAATGTAATAAAATTGTGGCAAAATTGTGATAAAGCCAAGAAAAGGGACCAAATTAATTTTTCCCCCAAATTTACTTTTTATTTTAATAGGTGTAACAGTACCCTAGAGCCAAGAGGCCAACATCGCTTTCCCAACTTGAATCCTAAAATTTTTGTTCGAGGTTATATCCTACTGTTTTGAACCAAACGATACATCTCACCACTATCGAATACGATCCATAAGGTGATTCGATATTCTGAGAGTAAAACTATCGACTGACCTTAAGCTCATCAGGGGTAGCCAGCTCTGTGTTGATAATCTTTTCCTTGAAAGATGTGATGGGGTCCCTGGTTTGGCGAACAACCTGGACCTCATCTCGGGTTCGGTAGCTGGTTCCGGGATCGGACATGGAGTGTCCAGAATACCGATATGTTACCGTTTCCAAGATGAGTGGCCCTTTCCCGCTGGTAGCATAATCAATGGCGAATTTTGCTGCTTCTCGCACTGCTAAAACGTCCATACCGTCGACCTGGGGATAAGTCGTAAGGGATCATTATCATGTACGTTTCATAATCGGATCCAGACACCACGAACAGGGGGAGGGGAGTTCCGGAACCTTCCCCAGAAAATCTTTGAACTTGCAATCTTGAAACTGATGCAAACCCTAGATTTTGAGTCGATTTCGTCATGAATAATTACCAAATTTAAGCGTCTTTCCTTCTTTTATCTTTGGGCAAACGGGGAGGCGCAGGCCCCCTAACCTCCCCCCCCCCCAGCCCCCATTACGCTCCGCCCTGGATCCGCCTATGGCACGTTTGCCGATATTATCATATTCCCAGTGTCATCTTTTTATTCTTCTTTTTTTAATCAGCACAGTTTGAAGAAATATTTAATTCCTTCATTCAAGAGAATAAAAACCTGAAAACAGGGACACGATAAAATAATGAGCAATGCTACTGTGTTTCTGTTCCAACTAAAACAAGGTTTCCCTTTTTTTCTGTTAATATTTCTTACTCATTCAAGAATATTCACACTCAAATTCATAGATATTTTTACCAATTGTCTTTGTTAAAAAAAGAAAGAAAACGATCGAAGATTTTGAAACCTTACAATGGAGGCACAATAATTATGGTCAAATTGCAGTTCTAGAAAACTTATTTTGGTTAACGAAAAACAAAATTGTTGCTGCGTAGTTTATCGTATTCATGATAGTTTCTACTCTTCTAAACGCTGATTTTTTTTCTGTTGTTTGTATCATATAATTATTTTCATTATAACTACTGATTTTACCGACAGATTCAATTTTTTCTTAAATCATACATCGGCTCTAACCATCAAAATATTACTGCTCGGGTTCTGAGGGGCAAACAAATCGTCGATCCCCTAACGTAAGGGCATATCTCTATTTCTACATGAGCCCCACAAAGCATGGAGTTTTATGGACAGCAAGGCTCACGTGGAAATGTAGATACACGCCCTTACGCCGAAGGAGCGACGAAATAAGGCATGGACAATGCTTTTAGATAATGATGATGATGATGATGATGATAATGATTCACTCAGTTAATGGTTATGATTTGATTCAGCGACTTATTCAGCAAATCTGGTAAATCTTGTGACTTGATAAGTTGATACTCACCCATATGCCGGGGATATAATCACCACGGGTGTAGTAATTGGTGCTGGCGGACGACCTTTCAGCACTGGTTCCCATTCCGTAGCCGTTGTTCTCGCAAACGTAAATAACAGGAATGTTCATCAATTTGGCGATGTTGTAGGCCTCGAAAAGCTGTCCCTGATTCGCCGCTCCGTCGCCATAGAGAGTGAAGCACACTCCTCCCTCCTCCTTGTACTGCGATGCGAAAGCAACTCCCGTTCCGAGAGGTCCCTATAAAGAAAAAAAGACGATGAACACCCAAACATCAGTGCACCAGAGGTTTTTGCTTCTTTAGTCAGCTTTTTAGTCATTTTTCTGTATCAAAGACTGATCTACTTTGCTTTGGAAGAACGTTGAGATTTTAAAAGCGGTTTCTTTGGTTTCATCGTAAAATTTTATTTGAGGTGCACCTGCACTTCTTCAACATCAAAATCTGACGAAATAAATCCCAAAATTAGCGGTTTCGGTCCAAAATCTCGCGTCCGACTTCTTCCTTTCTGTGTGACAAAACAAGGTTCTTTTGGAAACTCATGAATACTTTGCTCTCTATTTTCGGATGGTTTTGACTCCAAGTTTTACTAAAGTATCCGAGAATATCAAGGAAAATTTTCATAACTTTCCACAAAAATAAATATTCTTTTTGATTAGACGGCGCGTCTACGGCGATCAACAGCGCGTTGATATTAACCCCTGGCTGGATGCAACTATTCGTGTTCCGTGGATATGCGTATTGCTTGTGCAAAAAATGAAGGCGCTCTGGCATTTCCTCTTCATTAACGACATGAACGTTACACAACATGGAGCAAGGCGCGTCGAATCCTGGTGAACTTCGCCGAGCGTCATCTTTACATCTTTTTTTACATCTTTTAAACAAAAATTCAAACTTCATGAAATATTGTGAACAAATTTATCATTAGATCTCACACTAAACGTATCGTTCAGATACAATTTTTGACGAAAGAACAAAAATGTAAACTAATAAAAATAGTTCCCTGAGTATAATGTACATCAACGTGAAATTCTCAAACCGCGTATCTCGTTTTGTAGGGCTGCCGACTTTCTATCAAAAAAGCATATTTATACTATTATTATTCGTACTGTTTCTGATTCATACTTCACAGTTTTCGTGGAAAACGTAGTCAACGTCGTCGTTTGAAAACTTCCACGCTGACAAAAAACTATGGTTGAAATTATCATATAAGATGTTCCAAAGTGTTCCAGGTGTTCTTGATACATAGTAAACGTATCCAAT